CCTAACGGTACCAACGAATTCGTCGGCAGAATCGCAAAATTCGATCTTTCGTTCTTTCCCTCTTGTATGGGTCTGATTTACGAGGCCGCCATAAAATTCCCCTCGTTTATTTCTGTCATTCGGTCTGTCCAATTTACTGCACGATTTTGACACAATAACACGAATAAATAGGCGCACTTTAGTGACCGATGTTTTTTTAATCTCGTCCAAAGCTTGTAAAGATCATGTTGAAGTGTATTAAAAATATAAAAACTTTATTCTTTTTTGTCATCATGGAAAATTTTAATTTTAAATTCTTTAATATCGGATAAACTCACGTTTTAAGAATTTTCTGATTTTAAAGTCATATTATAATGGAATATAAATCGATCGATGAACGTTTAATGACTATTGAAAACTGACTATTGATGACTGATTGACTATTGGTGAAGAGAAAAGAAGAAAAACTCTTTAATGTTTCTTCAGCTCTTACCATTTTATTAGAAAAAATTAATTATTTAACAAACATTAATACGATTCTTTTTTTATATTGACTGAATATGTTAATTATTGAAAATTTTGACACTTTTATAATTTATCTTTGAACTTAACAATTCTGTCAAAGTATTTTATAAAAAAAAATATACCTATGCATATGTATTTTAAAAATTATATTTCCTAATAATATATAATTAGTATTATTCTGTAATAAACAGAATATTAAATTTCAAAAATGTAGCATCAATAATAGAGAAAAATGAGATAAATAATAAATTATATTTTCTAATAATATGTATATTATTAATATTCCATGATAAATTAAATTTTATATTTAAAAAATATAATATAATATCAATAATAGAGTTTATAAATAAAATATTTGCTTCAATGTGTGTAGCTAGAAAAGCAAGCAGATTTCCTCTGGTCGTAGCATAAATCATTCTACATTTTGCGATAAAATCTTCACCGCGTCCATCGCGTTTATTCCGTTTACTCACTAACGTAATTTACCACTTTGTCGGAAGATCCTTATTGCGCGGCATCATTTTCTTTCTGACAAAATTAGCATGCAAAGATCGACGCTAAAAAGGTAATTATGGTCCCGGATATTAATCGCGGTATCGAGCGAATTGCGTGACGCTTTCGAGAAATGCAAGATTCGCTCGGTTTCGTTTTGTCGACACGTAGGAATAATTCGATGTAATCTAGAAACGGTGCAATATAAGCCTTCGTGATCATAGATATCGACAATATGAGGCCATTACGAAAAGTCTTATGCGAAATGTTTTACTTTATTTACGCTATTTAAAACGATGGAATAAACAAGATAGAGATATTTCCTTATGCGGCTTTTTTTTAACAATTTTCCTCAATCGAGAATCCTCAAATATCTCTACAAAATGATTTCTATCTTTGCTTGTAGAAAATTATAATTCTTATTAATCTTTATATCGATTAGTATGAAATTTCTCAATTTCTTAAAAAATATATCATAACATTCTTTAAATATCTGTAATATTTAATGAATATTATTTATTTACACATAATTTTTATTTTCTCTTGTATGCATAGATTTCATGGTTTTGTGTTATTCTTTTTTCTTTATTATAAACTGTATTTCAATTGAAAGTCGATTTTACCTCGATAAAAAAAGCATCGAGGAATTTAACAACTTTATAAATGAAAGTAAAAAGAGAGGAAAAAAGAAAGTTTCTCAGAAATAGAGAATAAAATTCATACTGTGTATATAAAATCTTCACTTATAATATTAATAAATTTTAGGTAGATTGATACATCAAAATTAACGAAAAAAATATTGAATAAAAAATTAAATATTTGTGTAACAAACTATATCGATTCCAAGTTTCATATGTAAAATATGATTTTTAATATAAATGATCGAGTGTATTTAAATTCCGATAATCATATTCAATTATGTATGCTCTCTCTCTTTGCATTCTTCATAATTAGTTCAAGGGAGAGAAAACACATCGATGACATAGTGAGAGACAGCGCAGTTTAAATTAGATAAGATCGTGTCGCCTTCATTAGTCTCTTTGATTGCTAGAGCATAAGCTACGTGAGATCCTCGTTTTACCTATACGATACATGATTTTTAATTCAAAGTGATTGTATTATTATAAAGTTCGAAACGAAGAAATTTACTGCAAATTGATTCTTTCACTATACATTTTTTTGTAAGACATATGCCTCTCGATGATAGTGAAAGTATTAAAAGAAAAGAAAATTGTTATATGTGATTTGATGAGTCATTCGACATTTATTTAGTGAATTCGATGATTATAATTGTGCTACATTAAATCTACAAGTGAAAGGAAAAAAAATTTGCTATAATAAATTCTAAAAATAATAAATAATAATTTGGAAATAATTTAATACGAGTTTTTATCTTAATGTAAGATAAGAAAAAGATGTTAACTCTCTTTTTAATTATTAAATTATTTCCAAATTATTTATTATTTTTAGAATTTATTATAGCAAATTTTTTTTCCTTTCACTTGTAGATTTAATGCAGCACAATTATCGTCGAATATATTCGAACATCTCTACGTGACTAGCGAGATTACTAATAATAATTTCCGTATACGCATATTTTCCGCGTAAACATTGTCATCATTCGCATAAAACATTCACACTGATACATTATCAAAAGAGATGCGATAGAGCGTAACGTCATTTCAACTGGTGCGCATAACCATTATAAGCATATGTCCCTTTTAAAAGTCACCGGACTCTCCTGGCCATGAGTGCACTCTGTAATTTTGCACTTTGTAATTACGATTATACCATAACTCGTAAAAGTTTTATGTTCGTTGCTCTCTTGAAAATACAAGCGTAATATTCTCTGTACGATCTCCGAAATAAGATAATTTATCTTTCTCTTTTTGGTTTATATTCCGATTTTAAGTATAATGCAAAAAAAACTTTCTCTTATAATATAATTTAGAAAATAAAAGAAGAAAAAATACAATAGAAAATTGTGTCACATAATTTTTTTTTTCTCGAACCTTCAAATCAAGATACGATGCTTATTTTATAATCAAATAATTAAATTATATCAATTATATCAATAACTGTGTCAAATAATTTATATCAATTACACGTAATAACTTCCAAATTGCTCGTAATTATTTTTAACAGGCCATAGAAATCTTCAATTGCACATAGATTTCTTTGGAAACAATTAAGCGTAATAAATACCCTACAGACACCCATAAAGCATTCTCGTAAGTAGATAGTAGCGGTCTGTGTTTGCCCGAGATCTTATTAATGACGAATCTTCAGAATCCTACCAATACTTTCAAATATCTCAAGCGTCTCATAAATCTCGTTGCGCTCTCTAAACGCAGCTTTGTGGAACACAGCGTGCTGTATAATTATTGTGTAATTATCGAGCCAAAAACAAAAATCATTTTAAAGGATGGCGTGAGAGATCCTGCGGAAGCGGATAATTAACACTCGTTACTTGCTCGGGCAAACCGGCGTGTCCGGTTGATTATTTGAGAAACATCCCGACGATCTCGCGACTTTAAGTACTTCGTTAATTTATCTCGCGAATTGGTTTCCTGTTTAATATCGCCACGCATTTATCTCGCACTTTCGCGAACGGTTTGAACTGTCAAAATGACTCAATGTTACAATATACAGATGATTCATATCGAATCAATCAAACTTATCAAACTTTATCAAACTTTAGTAATTTAATCTTTAGTAGTTTAATCATAAAATGATAAGAAAATTATAATATAAATTTTTATAATATTTATATAAACTTTTTTTTAGTTTATTATAATCTTCACGATAAGAAAATTTATATAATACAGAGCACAAAAAAGTTTATATAAATAATTATAATAATTAAGAATTACTTTAATTATTTATATAAATTTTTCTGCTCTATATTATATAAATTTTCTTATCGTAAAGATTTTATTCTATTCTTATTTTAAGATTTTAAGATTTCTAATAATGCCTAATAATGTCCAAATACTAATAAAGTGTTTGGACATTATTAGAAATTTAAATATAAAATAAATTTATGCACAATTATAAAGAATAAACTTTTCATTCGTTCAAATCAATTATCTTATAAGAATCTATATGAACTTATTTAATTACTTGCCATTAACCAATTAAATAAATTCAAATAGCTTCTTATAAGATAATTGGTTTTAGACAAGAAAAGCTTACACAAATATTCGTCACAAATTTAAACAGTAAGAGTATATTTTTACACTGAGGAAAAAATTATCTTGAAATAAAAAAATTTTAGTCAAGAAAACTATTTATTCGGTGGGTTCTAATCACGTATTTACTTGTATTCAAAACGTCTATTTGCTTAAGTTAAGTATTTATTTACATATGTTTAGAAAAATATATATGCTTAACAAATATAATTTTTAATTAAATATTTTTATATTTTAATTTTACAAAATATTTATTAAAATGCATTTTTTATTCCCAAAAATTTAAAATTTTTTAATAAAAAAAAATAATATATTTAATTTAATAAATTATAGCATATATTTTATGAAAATAGTATTTAAATATAAAAAATAATATAAATGAAAATAATATAACATGCATATTTAATTAAAATTAAATGCTTTTGCTTAAATGAAATAAACAATTCCTTCCATTTAAAGCAAAAGTTTCAAGAAAACAAATTTAATAATTTTGATTTAATTTGATTTAAACAAATTTTTCCCTCAGTGTATGATAGAGTATAGATTATATTTATTCATTATATTATTCATTATCGTTAATATGCATATAATGAGCTAGAAAATTCTAATATACAGTGATTCAACGAACCCCGTTAATTATGCACAGATTAACATCGATCGAGTCATACAAGTGCGATAAGCTTACACGATATATATTCAGTATAATTACGCTGAAAACAACCGTGCATCTTTATCACGTGCTTAAGGTATCCGCTCGAAAGTCCAGGTCGAGAATCCACCTAGTGTTTTGATAAACCGGAAAGACTCGTTTACCTGAGTGTATCCCGCCATCGATGTCGGCGTCTTCAAAGACGGACGATTCGACGCATTCGTCGTCGGCGACAGCAGGATCCTCGCTGGCCTCCTCATCCTTGTATCTGCTCACACGGACGTCCTTTTCAACGGCGCAAGGACTGTCGACGGATGCGTGCCTTCCGATTCGCACCAGCGTGCTATTGCTCCTGGCCAGCTTCGTGCTGTGAGTCCTACGAATCAATAGATTCGTGAGGGTCGTGCTCTGTTTGCTTCTCGGCTGCTCCTGATGACCGCGGGAGGACTTTGCGGCCGATTCGATGACGATCCTCGTCGCGGCGGGTCTCTGCTCGACATTCGACAGCTTCTTGCCGCATCCGGCCGCGTCTTCCACCTCGAAGCAGGCAATGGTATTGTTCAGACGACTGTCCTTTCTGCCGTTGGACTCTTTCCTGCCGGTAAACCGGCTCTGAAATCGTTCGATCGTCTTGAAAGACCTCGTCCTCTCGACCTTTTTTCTCTGCTCCGTCTGACCCCCGCTGGCTATCCGGTCGCACTTGGACGCCTCGAAGATTCTCGTCAACGACTGCACCTTGCCTCTCACCTCGGGTAGAGTCTCGTCCGCGATTCGTCTCGCGGTCGACGAGAAGCCCTCGTTGCTGCTCAGGGTGCGGGTCAGGGACCCGCTCGTGGGTGTCTTGGACGTGCTGCTGATGGGGTAGGTGTTGCAGATGAACTTGTCGTCCGTCGAGTGACCCTTGGTCAACTTGGCGACCGACTGTCGCGTCGGCGGCTCGCCTCCGTCCAATGACACGTAGAACGTGGACCGCCTCTTCGGCGACTCCTCGGGATCCTCAGCCGTCAGCATGTCTTCATATATCACGACTTAGCGTGAAAAACCAGTAAGCTTCTCTTCCTCCCTTTTCGCGCGCTTTTCAAGAGAACGACTTTCGATCGAGCGAACCTTATCATTTGATATCGCGGTTATCTCGTGGCACATTATCGATGACACTCTACGCACTGGCTGTCACGCACTATGTGATACTATATTCGATCGCTTTACGCGAACCATTCCCCCTCGATCGACTCCGATTCATTCTCACGCTCGCATTTTTGCTTATCGGCTGTCTTTGCCATCAACCGACGATAAGATACGCCCTCGAGATCGCGTTGTAGCAACACCCTGCCTCCAGAATCGCGGATTAATCCGAGAATCGGGTGCATACAATCTTCCAGGCAACGGTGTAATAACGATGATTACATTTCTTGATCGGATCGGTTCTTCGAGACGACCCTTTTGAGAGGTCGACCCGTCTCTTCGGAGACCCTCTGTCCCTTCTCTCCCTCCCGGACTAAATATAGAACTATCGAGCTGCGTAAACGCGACTGTAGAGAAAGGAAGAAGGAACACGTGCGACGTACTAGACGAATATCAGCTGGCTGAGTTATCCCTGCTGATACTCGCGGAGAATGCGAGGCGTTGAACCTCTCGCGTCAACGCGCGACCACTTTTCAGCGTATCCTCCTCGGTCAAGTCGTCTCTTCCGTGAAGAACTCTCTCTCTCTTGGCTACGTTTTATTCCTGCTTGCTTTCACGTACACGTCTTTGTAACGTCGCTTCCTCCGCGGACGGAAAAGAGTCTCTCCCGTTCACTTTATACGTGTGTTCTCAGCTTTTCAATGTTACTTCGCATCAATCCTTTTCCGCTATAAGAGAAATCCGTGGAAGAGGAGATGCGATTGAAGATTGCAGGTGCAATTGGTCCAGGAATCCGCGGAGGATCGCCGGTTAGCGCGAATGGAATGCACACGCCGTTGAAATTGTCGGCAAAGCCGGTCGAGATTTACGATCGCCGCGAGTACTCCGGATAAAGGGATTTATATGGGAGCGGGACCATAACTCGGGGGGAAGGGGGAAGCGAAATATTCGCGGATAATCGCGATTGAATGGAGCGCTCTCGAGACGCGGGGTCGCGCGAGCGCACCTGTCATCGATCTGTCATTCGCGCGGCATCCGATTTATCCATAGTGCTCGTTCTCACAGTTGTTTCGTATTATTCTGAAGCGAATTCCAACACGTAGTTGCTCGATTCGAGAACCAGCGACCATCAGTTCACCGCGAACCACAATAGCGACGTTCTCTCTCTCTTTCTCTCTCGATATCTTCTCTCGAATATCTTCGAACTCGAATTACCCGCGACTCCGATGCGATCGCGAGTCCTCGAGCGACTGTCGCGTCGAGAAAAGTAAGAGGTATTCTCTTCCAAGTCACGGCGATCCGGCTCTCACGATCACTTCGAGCTCGCGCGCGATGATTGTTTCTCTTTCTCTCTCTCTCTCTCTCTTTCTGATCGCGTCCACTCGCGCGGATTTTTTTCCTTCGCGTCGCGTTTATTATCAAGGAGCGCGCCTTCTCGTACAAAGAATGAGTACGACACACGATCGACCGCACCGCGGACGAACTCGCGACTGTCTGGATCCAACGAGCCGGGCTTGATCCAAGTGCGTCGCCAGCGCGCTCTATAGACGGCGGTATTCTCGACACGGTTAAAAGGGAGAGAGAGAGAGAGAAAGACAGAGAGAAAGAGAGAGAATCGGCGACGACTGTACACTATGCTCGACCAGACTTCCAGACTCTGGAAGTGCTTGGCTTCTCGACGACAATCCGTGGAATGTAGAGGTACATTCTACACGTAGAATGCACCAAGGGAGAAGATGTATCAAACGATGCCTTCAATCACGATGCCGAGATATCGAAGATCCATCCCTTCTTTATTCTATTGACAAGAACAAATGCGATACATAGACAATTTTTGCAAATAAAGAAATTGTCATCGATTTTTATTTTTCTATCTCTTCATAAAGAATAAAAATTATTCTGTCCCTAGAATAAAACACAAGAGTTTTGCAAAAAAATTATTATAATTTCTAATCGAGGCGATTCAGGACAAAACTCGAGTTGTGTAAGACTCTTGGAGGCTGTGGGAGAAAAACGCAAGATACTTCTGTCATGTTTCAACTGTTGGGCGTGTCTAGTGGGTGCTGTCAAAAGAAAAGAATCTAAACTTCGAAGAAAATCAAATTGAATGCTGCTAAATTTGTAATAAGCTCTATCACGAATATTTTTTGTTTTTCTTCGAGTCTTTCTTTATGTACCATTTTTGCACAAGAATGTGTTAAAAATTGTCTATATATTTTCAATTATATTATTGCAATGTGAAAGCGTATTAATATTGACATTTGTAATAGTGAAAGCGCAATGATAACTTCAAATGTGAGATATCTTATGTAAGTATGTACGCTAATTATTATGGATATGCGACGTAAAATATAGATCTTTCCATCATTTATTTTAAAAGTCTCGATTCCGAGAGATTACATGCATCAAGAAACTATGCACGCTTTCAATTATGTTAAGCGTGAGAATATTCGACTGCATAAATAAGAATAATTAATTTAAGGATGTTTTGTATCTATTTTCAAAATATTGAGAATTTAATGAAAATTATTATAATGAAGGAATTATTATAATGAAGTAAAGGTCCGTTAGATAAAATTAATAAAAATTAGTTAACAGACTTCAAGAACCAACGCAATGGTGAAAATATGCAAAAAATAGAAATGAAAATTGTACAGAATGTCCTTAGATATGTTTAGAATCTTCAATAGAATTTTTTAATCGATTCACTAAAACGTTCACAAGTTATAAGGATTTTAATTTGCACCGAATTAACATGTGTTCTTTTGGGGAACGTGGATAACCACGTCGATTCAAATGACAAAAACACATGGAAGTAATGTTCAGAATTTGTTTAAAATTTGCAAAAGTTTAGATACAGAGAAAATATTTGGTCAAATAATATTATATAAGTACTAACTGATTAAAAATATATTAAATATAATTTAATGAAATTAGCCATGTATCTGTCACAAGGCGAAATTCTCTGCCAAAAGTTAATCATTTCGATTAACAAAATTCGGAATATTTCAGTAAAAACGCAATAAATATTAAAAAATACATTTCTGCTAAAAGTGGATATTCGTCAATATTGATTTTCAACTACTTTTTGTTGGGATTATACATACAAAACATCCTTAAAAAAAAAGGTTGTATAAATAAATTGCAATCTTGGAAGCTTTTTCTTATCTCACAATATCGACCGGTCTTACTTCAGATCAATTTTGTGACGCGACGATTATTTCACTATCGATGCGGTGTGAATTTCGTGACCCTTAGAAAAAGTCGCAACTCCGTCAATTTTCTCCGGCAAATTATGCATGCCCGAGAAAATCTCTGTGTCCCAACCGGATCACGTCCGTAACTGTTTCTTCATCACCATCCTGCTGTCTGTCTCGCGTTACTCCATTTCGAAACTCTAACATAAAACCGATAGTTTATGATCCCAATTTTCATTCCACGAAAACCGCAAAGCCGCCGCGAATGAAAGCGGAAGGAGATAGACGCCGAGGACCGATATAAACGCTGCAAAGTTCAATAATTGCTAACTTTGTTTCAATTTATCTAATTATTGTACAATTTGTTAGCGTAACTATTCGAGTTTTGGATAACAAATTTGAGTTGTGAATATATTTTATAATATATTATATTATTATCTTATATCTTCTCAGATTCCAATTCTATTTTAACTCATTCTTATCCTAGCAATTTATTATAATAATAAACAAAGTTACAAAATATTTTTCATTATTTTTTGAAAAATTGTAATAAAACTTAACTTTTTACTAGCATAAAAATTCACATCGTCACATTCTTGTGTGTAAAATTGCGTTCAAATCCACCAAGTAAAAAGGAGCGAAAAAGGATGCTCATAAATAACGTTGGCTCAGCGCGAAAAACATTCGGATCTCAAAACGTTCTCGTCCCTTGAAAGCCTAAGACTGCTTAAGGCGATTTATGCAACGTCGGGAGCAGGATGATAAGAAGTTCTTTCCAATTTCGTACATATTCGTCGATTGAAATGCAAGTTTCATCAAGTCAAGCATGCGTTTGAACTTTGTGCGTGTATGTGTGATTCAATCTCTTACGAGTTCAGATTGAAAATATTTCACAATTTGTTCGAATTTGAAAAATCATTTTCATTTAGAGATATGCATGCAATTTTCAATCAAATTTTTCCATGTATTTCTCCAATTTGAAACTGTTGCTGGAAAAATAAAAATTTTTTCGATCGTTTCGATGTTTTCGGGTAATGCATTTTTTACATATTTCTTCTATATATTTTTACAATAATTTATTCCAATTATAATCGAAGAAAGCGTGTGCGTGCGATAATGTACTTCAAAATGTCTGTCGAAAGTAAATCTGTGTCAAAATCTCACTTTTACTTGTCGATTCGTGCTCAATTTTCTCTCGATCTCCTTTTCTTTTCATTTTTATTAAGCGATAGAAAGATCCATTCTGTAAATATAATAAGTTAAATTAAAAGATTTACAAGAAAGTAATTTTAAATATTTTAAGGTATAAGATTTTTAAATTTTAATATATCTCCAATTAATTTTTATAGAAACTCCATAATACCGGACTAAAAGCTAACATGTTTTTAATGTTTTAATATTCTCGCAGAACAACGAATTTAAAACATGTCATAAATCATAGACATAAATCGCGCGCAAGATATAGATAAGTATAGTATAAATTATTTTATATTAAGCCGATATAGATATAGACTGAAATAGGTATTTATTGTCCTCGTAGCGCGTGTTTTAAAGTCACAATTCCTTTCACTTTTACGATAACTAGAGCCAGTTTGATTTTTCTAGCAAATTAAATTTATCGATGCCGAGTGTAATTGCATTGATTAGAATATACTCGCATGCATAATCAATGACGCATTATCATTCACAATCAGTTAAGTGAATTACAAAGAAATAAGTAATAAGTTTCCTTAGCATATCTTAGGCAATAATACGTCTACAAACATGTGTATGAAATAAAATTTCAAATCATTTAATTAATTTTCTTCATTTAAGGAGCATATACAGAGTGTTCCAGACCACCTGTACCACCCATTTAAAAACTAGAGAAGTGGTTATTTCAAAAAAGTTAAAACATTTTCTTTATAAATCGGGAGGAATCAATTGGTGTAAAGAAAACATATAGTTGTTTCTAAGAAAAAATATGTAATTTGCAATTAACAATTCCACATTTTTTCTTAAAAACAACTGTATGTTTTCTTTACATCAATTGATTCCTCTCATTATTTTGTACATAAAAGTATTTAGGTAAGATAATCGAAAAATGAATATTTTACAAGATATTTTATGGTTTATGTAAAATTAAGAAATGATTTCAAGCCTCATAACTCGAAAAGTACTTCATGGAAAAATAATTTATTATAGTATTTTGGAAAGCTCTCAAGGTAAGCTACAAGAATATGTAATGAAAAATAGGGGGTTCCATTTAAAAAAATGCACTTTCGGTCTGAATCGGCTATTTCCGGCCGGAACCAGAAGTTGAAAATATCACCATTCGATAGAGAGCATCCGATTTAAAAAGAAAATGTTTTTCCTTTTTTAAAACAACCATTTTTCTAGTTTTTAAATGGGTGGTACGGGTGGTCTGAAACATCCTGTATATAAATTTTAAAAATTCAAAGATATAAAAATTATTTTTCTATTTCATTGTTACATCTTTGATTTAATGAGAAGGGTTTATATTTATTTACGCAAAATTCCAATCTTGATAATAAATCTCTATAGAGTTGCATTGCGTAATTCCCGCGTGTTGTGAGACACGATCGTTTGTATTTGCGACATCGCTAATTGTAATAATGCACAGGTTCCTGGCGCCGAACGAGCTTTCTTCTTCGTGATTGACACCGCCGCCTAAAATGAATAATGACCCGAAGCGTAACGGATGCAATTGCAGCGGCAAAGCGAGCAATCTCGAGGATTCTCTGTTTGCGCTGCCTACGCGCGGGATGAGAGAAATCTCATTTTGCGTGGTACGATCGGATTCGTGCAGTCTCGCAAATTTATTGTAGCGAATATGGTGGCGCTTCCTGGGCGAATATTGCTCAGAAAATTCCTTTGAAAAGATCGATTCTACTTCCATTGAGAGAATGTGTAAAATTCCTGCAGCTCGATGGCGCCGATACTATTGAATATTTTTATGATTGACAGGAGGAATGTGCTATTTTACGAAGAAAAAATTTGCCTCGTTCAATTTTCCTTGTTCAATTTTCGTTCTAAAATGTGAGAAACTTGGAAAAGAGCACGATGGAAAAGGATCACTTGTATCTCCATGAGCCTTTTGTTGGGCGTAGAATGCAATTAGCATTTTACGAGCGTGTTGTTTGAAAAATTCACTTACAAGCACGTTTTCGACGCCACTATCTATCTCTCTCGCACCGAAAGCAGACGTCCAAGCACGTGCCTTTGAAGCTGACGTTTGCAACACACGCCGCGCACGACGAGGAATCTTGATGATCTGCACTTAAACGAGTTAGACAACAC